AGGCCTGCAAAACCTAAACTAAAGAAATGAAGGTGCTGGCTTGGAACATTAGGGGATTTAATCACCCCGCCAAGCAAAGCCAAATACTAGAAGTAGTTAGTAGAGAGAATGTGGACATTTTTGGAGTTCTTGAAACAAGGGTGAAAAAAGAAAAGTCTAAAGAGATTGTGGATCTGAAGTTTGGTAGATGGGAGTGGGTACATAACTATGAATACTCAGATTTAGGTAGACTGTGGATTTTCTGGAAAAAAGATTTAGATTTTACTGTAATAGAGAAGTCAGAGCAATTTGTACATGGTGAGCTCAGGGGTGTGCACCCTATTAGAATTACTTTTGTGTATGGTTCAAACGATGAGGGAACAAGAAGAAATCTGTTTCATCACCCTGTTCTACAGCCTGCCACCAGTCTGCCTTGGTCAATGCTAGGTGATTTTAATGCAGTAAGGAGTGCTGAGGAAGCTTCAAATAATCCAGTTGTGTCGTCCAGTATGTTAGAGTTTGATGATTGGATAACCCGAATGGAGCTGGAGGAGAGTGCTTTTGAGGGTCCCTGGTTCTCTTGGACAAATAAACAGGAGGGGAATCCTATAGCTAGAAGGATAGATAGGACTCTTGTGAATTCAATTTGGCTGTCTGCCTTTCCCAACTGTTCAGTGAAACTCCTTCCTCCGCGGCTTTCAGACCACTGTGGTTTACTAGTGAATACTGATATTCAACTAGCCTCTTTGCCTAAGCCATTCAAATATTTCAACTGCTGGGAGAACCATCCTCAATATAAGGAGATTGTCGCAGCAGCCTGGAATAAAAGTGTTAGGGGGACTGCTATGTTTGTCATCTGTCAAAAGTTGAAAGAAGTTAAAAGGCAGTTGAAGGAGCTGAATCGTTCATCCTATTCAGAAATTTCTGAAAGAGTCAGGCAAGTTCGTTGTGAAATAGAGGGTTTGCAGGTAGAGGCTCTCCATCAGCCATCTCTTGTGTCTTTCCAGAGGGTAAATGAGTGCCAAACTCGATTATTTGGTCTGCTCAAAGAAGAGGAGACTATATATCGACAGAAATCAAGACAACTTTGGGTGAATTCAGGGGATTTAAACACTTCTTTCTTTCATAATTCTGTTAAGGCTCGTCAAGCTCGGTCGACTATTAAAAAGCTTGTTTCAGATGATGGGATAACTCTAACTGATGCAAAGGAGATGAGTGGGGAGGCAGTTAGATTCTACCAGCATCTGCTGGGCACAAAGAATCCAGAGGTTCAGGAAGTAAGTAGTGAGCTGATTTCCCAACTTCTGGTCCATGTTCTCACTCCTGAGCATGCTGAGCCCCTTTGTTCTCCAGTCACAAGGGAAGAAGTGAAGACTGCACTTTTCTCTATGAATGGAGATAAATCTCCTGAGCCAGATGGCTTCACAGCCAGATTTTTCCGGTATAATTGGGAGCTTTTGGGAATGGAAGTCACTGATGCAATCTTGGATTTCTTCAGCACAGGGAGACTTCTCTCAGAGGTAAATTCTACTTATCTAGCTCTCATCCCAAAAGTGCAGAATGCTGATTGTATGAGGCAGTTTAGGCCAATATCGTGTTGTAATATACTGTATAAGTGTATTGCTAAGGTTCTTGAAAACAGGCTTAGGGAAGTGCTTCCTATTATCATTAGTCAGAATCAATCTGCCTTCATTAAAGGACGACTGATTAGTGATAATATACTCCTTGCCCATGAGATGGTTAGACTTTATAACAGGAAAACCATATCCCCTAGATGTGCCCTGAAAGTGGATGTGATGAAGGCCTTTGACAGTGTGGATTGGGGCTACTTAAAAACAGTAATGAATGCTATGGGAATACCTGACCAGTTCATAAGATGGATTGATGTTTGTCTTCATAGTACCAAGTTGAGTGTTAGCTTTAATGGAGGGTTAGTGGGCTATTTTTCTGCTCAAAAGGGACTGAGACAGGGGGATCCTCTCTCCCCCTATCTCTTTACCATTTCTATGGAACTCCTTTCCTGCATGTTGAATAGGGCCTATGCCATAAAGTCCCTTCCTCCCCACCCTCAAACCCATAGAATTGGTCTATCCCACCTGTGCTTTGCTGATGACCTTCTGGTCTTCACCAAAGGGACTCCTGAGGCTATAGGGAAAGCAAAATCTATTTTGGATGCATTTTATATTGTATCTGGGCTGAGATGCAACCCTGCAAAGAGTGAGGTATTCTGTGGAGGAGTGGAAACTAGAGTGCAGTCTCAAATTTCATCTAGTACTGGTTTTGCTATTGGGAAACTACCTGTGAGATACTTGGGGATCCCTCTTATAGCTGGGAAACTTAATACTGCTGACTGTCATGCGTTGGTTGACAAAATAACTGCAAGAATCAGGGGGTGGAAGGTGAAGACTTTGACCTATGCTGGTAAAATGCAGCTCATCTCTGCTGTCATTGCCAGTATCACTCAGTATTGGATGGGGATTATTCAGCTGCCAGTTAAGGTGATTAAATTGGTTGAGAAAGCATGCTCTGACTTCTTGTGGAGTGCAGAGGAGGAGGGAAAAAGGGCTAAAGTTCACTGGCAGATGGTAGCTAGGCCTAAGAAAGAAGGGGGACTAGGGTTTAAAGACTTAAGGTGCTGGAACATGGCTTGTTTGGTAAGGCATCTTTGGGCTATCTCTTCAAACTCTTCCTCTCTGTGGGCAAGTTGGGTCAGGCAATACCAACTCACATATACATCTATTTGGGATATACCTAACTCCATTCCCTGTTCATGGGCTTGGAGGAAGGTACTGAAGCTTAGACCTAGAGTAGCTCAGTATCTTACAGTTAGATCAGCTGGTGTGTTCTGGGGGGACTGTGTGATGGATAAATTCTCTGTTAAGAAAGTTTGGGAGACTATTAGAGACAAACAGGAGACTGTGCAGTGGTTTACTTTGGTTTGGAAATCGTTTGGGACACCGAGGGATAAGCTACTTGTCTGGCTTATCATCTTAAACAGGATTTCTACTCTAGATAAAGTGCAGAGATGGAACAATACAGTGGTCAATCTTTGTTCATTATGCTCTTCCACAGCTGAGTTCAGGGATCACCTCTTCTTCGAGTGTTCCTATTCTCAGCATGTATTGCAGGCTCTTTTTGCAGGCAGGAATGTGATGGGGGCAGACTGGGAGGCTTCTTTAGCCACTGCCATATCGTTAACCAGGCTGAACTGTGCCTCCTCTGATCGTGATAGACTGCTCTGGGTGATGGTGGTAGCTGAGCTTTGGAGAGAACGTTGCAGACGAGTTATGTCTGGTGAAGCATTGTCTGAAATTCAGGTTTTGAAGAAGCTGCAGGGGTTGTTACGCTTACTCAGGAATGGGGTCTCTCAAGTAGGGATTGCTATTTCAGAAGATTATGTGAATAGCTTAGTGTAGAAAGGAAGTCTTTGGGTTTACTTTTTCTTTCTTGGTAGCTATTCTGTTAGTAGTTTTGATCTTTGTATTGCCTGTTTTGAATGCTGTAAATGAGGTACAAGAGTCCCAGTTGGAGGAATGTTTTAGATTCCTCCTTCTTGATGAATAAAGCTGCTTATTCATAAAAAAAAAAAAAAATAGGTACGGGATCGGTATCCCAATCTCAAATACCGAAATCCCGAATACCGAATTATACCCGAAAGTCAATCCCAATCTGAATCCCTAAATAATTTCAGTATCCCAATCCCTAAATATTTTGGTATTCCAATCGGTATTATCGAATATGAAATTAATTATATTTAAAATAAATAATTAAATATATAAATTAGATTTGATTGTTTAATTTAGGGCAAAGAGACTAAGCAAAAAGTCATGCGTTTAGATGCATCAATCTAGAAATGACTCAATTTGACCAGTTGTCTCATTTTATAAACGAGGAAATTAAAACGAGTCAATTCGAATTACCTGCCCCCGCCCCAGGTAATTGAAATTGACTCAAAACGAGTCAAGTTCTTGTCATTGGTAATCTTTAATTGGACGAATTGAAGGTCGAGAGTCGACTAATACTAGTGTTTGCTTTTTGGTGTTATGAAAACAACAAGTTATTAGGTGAGAGATGAGAGTGACTTAAATTGGAAAGTCAAAAATGAGTTGGATGTGGACTTTGGAGTTGTGAAACAAAAATGAAATGATCTATGTATAATTAAATGACACTCTTGGTGGTTGAGGGACATGTAGTAGTGAATGAGAGAGTTAGTTGAGAGGATAAAATACACATTAGTTTATATTTAGGTATTGATCGGTATTTCGGTATATACCGATCCCAATCCCGTAATCCTTAATACCGAATTACAATTGAAATTCAATCCGGATCCCAATCCCAAGAAATAATACGTGTATTCGATAATAACAAATATAGACAAATTCGGTACAATATTATCCCAAATACCGGTACCAAATTTCCGGTCGTACTTGCAACCGTCTATCTTTCCATAACCCTATTTCATCACTCTCCTTCCAAACCCCTCCACCGCCATCCTCCTCGCCGTTGAAAATCCCCATCGTCAGAGCTTCATATTGGGGCGCTCCTCTCCATCGGAACCCTGAAAAATCCTCGGGCGAATCACTGAACCCTTTCTTCAAAACCTCATGCGTCACTCTAACAGCAGCCGCCGCATTATTCCCCTCCCCCTGCAACCTAAATACCAAGCCGGCGATTGCCTCTCCGATTATTTTCAAAATCTAACAATTAAACTAATTACGTGCTACCCTTAATTTGAATTGATTTTATGGTTACACAACAAGTGTTGAAAGAGTCTTTTCAACTTTGAGTTACATCAAGAACAAGGTTAGAGATCCATATGCGATCAGTTCGTGAACTATTGTCTAGTAGGATATACAGATTTGTTGAGCAATTTACCAAGCCTATTTTTTATTCTTTTTCAAAATATAAAAACACGTCGTGGCCTTTTTAAAATTTATACTAGTCCGATATTTTTTATTTATGAATTATTTATTTTATTTTAATTTTAGTTGAAGAGGACACCCCATTAAAAGTTTCTAGATCCGCCACTGCCAGGAGAAGCTGCCTCGGAGGAGAAGGATAATGATGCCTCTCTAGGCGAAGAAGAGCGCGCTCTGGAGGAGCATTTGGCCCAACATCCAGGCGACATCGATGCTCTAAGGGCTCTGATGGAGCTCAAGATCAAGTCTCGGAAGCTTCCGGAAGCAATTGGGGTAATCGACCGCCTGATCCAGCTAGAGCCCAACGACGACGAGTGGGTGCTACTCAAGGCCCAAATTTACAGCTACAGCGGCGATTCTGACCCTGCCACCAAGATCTTCGAGGAAGTCCTGGAGAAGGGGGAGCAGATCCGGTGAGTAATCTTGTGGTGAGTAACCCCATGCATACCCAATAAGAATCTGCCACATCAGCGCCTCCTTCTCTCTCCTGGAAAAATCATTAATTTTTTTCCCTTAATCTTTAACGGACGATTTCTCACTCGTTTTAACTCGGAATTTTTTTTTGCACAATTAGATCAGATTAATTGTGCTCTTCAAAATGATAGCCACTTTGATATTTTTTGAAACAAAAAAAATTTGCCAGTTATTACCAGTCTATACCATATGGTATAGTCTATACCATATGGTATTAAATAACAGCATACCATATGGTATGGAAAATACCACCTCATACCACGGTGGTATAGTATGGTATGGAGTTGGTAACGAGAGGTTTGAAATTTTTTCCCCCGGTAAATTTTGAAATCCAATAGATCATGATTAAATCGTTCCTTTTGTGCAAAAATTTTCGACAAATGACTAAACAACGAAGGAGATATCATATGGTATGGAGTTGGTAACGAGAGGGATGGAAAAAAATTTCTCAAAAAATATTGAAAATGTATATCAGTTTGTAGAGCACAACGAACTCGTTCCATTTGTGACAAAAAAAAAATTTGAAATCCGAGTTAAAATGAAGAAGATATGATCCAATTAAGAAAACTAGGGAAAATAAATTCTTTTAATTCTCCACCTTTAGATCTGCAGTCACTTAAAAGAAGGGTCCAGATTTTGTTACTCATTGTTACTCACTTCTAAAGTTACTCACCCTATCTCGAGCCTGGAGAAGGACCCGCTTCGGGTGGAGGCTTATCACGGCCTGGTCATGGCGTATTCAGAAGATGGGCGGTCCATGAGCGACATGTTGAAGCGAATTGAAGCCGCCATGAACAAGTGCAAGAGGGAGAAGAAGGCTTCTGATGTCCGGGACTTCAAGTTGCTGTTAGCTCAAATTAGAGTGATGGAAGAGAAGTATGGGGAAGCTCTGAAGGTAAATCATGAGTTGGTAAAAGAGGAGCCCAGACCAGTGCTCTGGCTGTCCCTGAGGCAAGGCAGCCAAACATCTCATGGCTTGGTTGTGGGTTCGAGCACTGGTATCTCCTTCTTCTTCTTCTTCCTACTCATCAACAAAAAAGAGGAGCCCAGGGACTTCCGTCCATATCTCTGCCAAGGGATCATATACACGCTGATGAGGAAGAGGGAAGAGGCGGAGAAGAAGTTTGAACAATTCGAGAAGCTGGTTCCCAAGAATCATCCGTACAGAGAGTATTTCCTTGACAACATGTTTGCTACCAAGTTCTTCTCAGATTACAGTGTACAGAGAGAAGGCTTGGTCGAGGAGCTGAGAGAATTGGAGGTGAAAGACGTAGGTAGAGTATGTATGGGTAGGAAAGTAACGGAATTTTGAGATGTTGTTGCTTTATCGCAGCAGTGTGGAAAACAAGTTTTGGTCTTGATTTCCTTGTGTTATTGGTGGGTAGCAGGTGCATGGAAATTTTCTGGTGCCATCCTTATTAGTTGGAGCATTAGTCCATAGGCCTTATTTGCTGGTTGATTGTTTGCTGTCCGAGTCATGACTTGATAAGTTATAGGTCTGGGCTCAATTTGTCTCTTGGTCATGTTGGAATCTTTCTTAGTTGATGGATCATCCTAGGAAGATGGAGAACTGGAAGGAAAGAATACCACACTTGTTTAGAATGAAACTGATGCCAAAAATGACAAGGCATAGGCATGTTAGTCTTTGTTGTGCTCTGAGAAATTGAATTTCTAACTTGCTTGTGCTTGTGCTTGTAGAGCCTAGAACAACAAGCTGCAGGCGTGTAATTCGTGGTTCTGACTTCTGATGGATGATCAGGATTTGAAGGTGGGTTCTCTTTGTTGAAGCTAGGGTTGTCTATTCGGGTCGGTTTCGGTAACAAGGTCGGTTTCGGTTACTCGAACCAAAATCCGATAACACCCATAAAACCGAAACAAAATCATTGAAAACCAAACCCGAAACCGATAAGGGTTTTCAGTTTTCGGCTACCCTAAACCCGAGAATTCCTTATCAGGTTCGAGTTCGAGTTAGGTTAAAGCAAAACCGAACCCCTAAGAATACGGACCGAGCGCTATCCCTTGAAGGTTTTTAGCCAAAACCCGAAAAACCGATAAGCAAAACCGAAACCAAAACTCCTAAACCCAAAACCCAAAACAAACCAAATCCGAAAAACAGACAATGTATCTAATAAGGTCAGTTTCGGTTAAAACCGAAAAACCAAACCCGAATGGACACCCCTAGATGTAACATAGGCAATTAACTTCTGATATCCTATCCCAATAGCTTAGAGGGTTCTTTAGATTTAGTTGATCCCAAAGCAGTTCCTAAGTTTTGGAGATTTTTCCAGAAATAGCACTGTTTAAAAAAAAAATTCCAAAAATAGCACCCAACTCCGAAAAATTCCAAAAATAGCACCATTTTTGTAAAACCGCAACCCGGAGATGCGTTTTTCGATGAAAACGCCACCCGAGGGCGCGTTTTTCGATGAAAACCGCACTAGTGGGGAGCGGTTTTGCAAACCGCACCCCCAGGGTGCGATCTGCCTTTTTTTTTTTTTTTTTGCAAACCGCACCCCCAGGGTGCGATCTGCATTTTTTTTTTGAAAAATCCTAATTTAGGTGGAAACTTCAAACGAACGTATCTTTATGTTCGGGTATCCGATCGTCGCGATTTTTTTTTTTATTCCGCATAACTTTTTGAGATCTTGCAAGCCGAAGACTGCCAAAGGTGGTTTGGTCTCGCCTTCGTCCCAAAAAATGTCGTTTGCTACCCTGAACGAACTTTTTTCTGATTTCGTCAAACTTTGGACAACCATAACTTTGTGCTCCAAAATCCAAACGACATGAATTTTTTTTTTATTTCACATAAATTTTTAAGGAATACAATTTTTATCATAGACATAATTTCAAAATGTATGTGGATTGCTGAGAAGGGAAGATAAGCTATTCCCAAAATCCTGTATATCCAAAAATAATTCCTGTTTTGAAACTACATTCCTAGTAAAAATTATAGTCCTTAAAAAGTTATGCAAAATAAAAAAAAATCATGCCGTTTAGATTTGGAGCACAAAGTTACGGTTGTCCAAAGTTTGACGAAATCGGAAAAAAGCTCGTTCGGGGTAGCAAACGACATTTTTTGGTACGAAAGCGAGACCAAACCACCTTTGGTAGTCTTCGGCTTGCAAGATCTCAAAAAGTTATGCGGAATCAAAAAAAAAATCGCGACGATCGGATACCCGAACATAAAGATACGTTCGTTTGAAGTTTCCACCTAAATTAGGATTTTTCAAAAAAAAAAAAAAATGCAGATCGCACCCTGGTGGTGCGGTTTGCAAAAAAGAAAAAAAAAAAAGGCAGATCGCACCCTGGGGGTGCGGTTTGCAAAACCGCTCCCCACCAGTGCGGTTTTCATCGAAAAACGCGCCCTCGGGTGGCGTTTTCATCGAAAAACGCACCTCCGGGTTGCGGTTTTACAAAAATTGTGCTAATTTTGGAATTTTTCGGAATTGGGTGCTATTTTTGGGAAAAAAAATTTAAACAGTGCTATTTCTGGAAAAATCTCTAAGTTTTGGGAGGTTGCCGCCACAGAGGCTCGAACAATCATCACTCGCTGTCTTAAGGGAAAGGAAGTGGAAAGGATTGCACAGACGCATATACCAGCGCGGTAGCCTGAGATCGGAGAATGAAACATTCTTTTTCGCTGTATCTTTTTCCGAATATATCTGTGCCATCCCATCCCCTTCCACAATTCCAGTACTTCCCTACAAATAACTAGAAACTAATTTTCAGTAAAGTCCGGCACAGTAAGACAATACAAGTGGCGTAAAGATGTAGCCTTCATATGAAACAAACTATAAAAAGTAGAATTTTTTCTCATTTTTCAGAAAATATCTAAATGGCAAATAGTGAGAACACCGGCAGCAAATTACGACTCCCAACCTAGACCCACGTCAACTCGCAGTGCACTTGTTAGCAGTTTCCTAAACCATCCTAGTCTTCTGCCACACCATCCTCTAATCAGCTTTTCACTTGCTAGCAGTTTCCTAAACGTTCACTCAACAAGGCTGCCACAGGAGACAGCGTTTAGACCAGGGGGGAAGGGAAGAACATCTGAAGCAAACCCAGAACCTCGACTAAATCTTGTGCAGCCCAATTTGGAGATCAGAAGATATGGAGATCAGAAGAGGTCGAGAGTAGTGAAACTCAGCTTTGAAGACACGTTTTTGGTGAGCTCTTATGGATTGTGATGGCTTGTGACCGTTGTACCTGATATCAAAGATGTGGATCACAGGATCCACCGAGCCGGACGACAGGTACCAACCATCAGAAGACCAGCCTTGATTGATCAGTGCTGACTGTGAATCACTGCTTTCTTGCTTAAACCCGAATGTGTGGATTTCAGTTTGTCTCAATCGGACGTCAAACAGTCTCAGCTGCTTCTCAGGAGTCCTGCATACAAGAGGAACCCAAGACTTGGTTATTTGCTATGGAAAGACTGAACATAATCCAGTAAAAGAGGCAATGGGCGGGTAGGTACCACAATAGCCATACACTGCACCAGGCGCGGTAATAATAGACCGAATCAGGTATGAAACTCAGGGAAAAGAAGTAACAAGTCGATTCTTATTTTTGTGGAAAACACTTTGTAAATAAAAGAGGGAGGATAATATGCTTAATGAAAGCGGTCATAAGTTAATGAAAGCCAAAATAGGATAAATGTTACAGAGAATTAGGATACAACGGGCGGGACTAAGGTAAGATCATGCCCCGCCTGACAATGTCAGAAAATTGCCATCCCTAATTCCATTGCAATAAACACTTCAAGATCGAGACAGGAAAAAAAATAAAGATATTAGTTGCATCTTTTACCCTGTTTGAACCATGTAGAGATTGAAGTCACATGGATTAGGCAAAACACTCATGCATTTGCTATCCACTTGATTCTTGAACTCCACTCGCCCTCCTTGGACATCAAAACCAATGATTCTCTTGTCTGCACCAGCCGAGAGCACGATCTGCTTTTGTTGCATGCCAGCAATCCCCATAACGGCAGAAGAATGCAAATCCCTGTGCAAATTCTTTGGCTTCCACGAGTTTTCAGCTTCCTCATTCCAGACTATGACAGCATGATCACTGCCACCGGTGACAAAACATGAATCTCCCCAAGGCATAAACATTACTCCATTAACAATACCCTTAATATGAGGCTTGTCTTGTAGAAACGTTACTTTGCTTTTCTGCCAATGTAAATTAGTGGAAGACAGATTAGACAGATGCTTTGGAAGAGTTATAAGTGCTTCGGAATGAATGACTGCTATCTGAGAGGTGAACAAGATTGACCCTCTGACAAATTGATTTATGAACGTCGCGTACCAGAGGTCATTACCTCATGTGTCTTATTCAAATGAATGACTGCTATCTGAGAGTCCCCTTTATCAGCAGTGTAAGTCGCAACCAAGCTGTTCCCCAATGGGTGCCAGGCTATATCTTCAGCCCACCGCCTGTTTTTTGGAGAAATGCACTCAGTGGAACTAAGAAGAGAGGCACTAGACCTGGAATTAGAAGATTGGAAGAAATAATTACTTGGAAAAGGTTTGGAACCTCCACCAGATTGGCATGTCTGGAGGCAAAATAACAAATTGACATAACAGGGTAAAACATTTTAACTGACCCATGACCCTGCAGCTTCCATAAATTGACCAATCCATCCAAAGCACTGAATATATTCCAAACAGAACAAAGATTAATATGGTTAAAGCAATTTTACATACTCGAAACAGAAAAAGAAAAAGAATAGGCTAACTAAAAGGAAGAAATGCATCCATGAGCTAATCACCTGGTAACAAACAGTTGATCATTCACCGGACAAAGTGCAAGACTTCTCAACTTTCTCTTGTGCTGACTACAGATGTGATTGTTAGCATGGCAATAAATGGTATACGGTGAAGAGCTTCTGCATACCATTGGAATCAATTCCTTTTGGTCTCTCTGCTCTGGGGACATATTATATTATCCAGTAAATCATGAATGCAAGTAACATAGTAAAACTAAACAATGCAAAACTTCTCCAGTAATCAGAGATTTACCAAGTTTCCTCTTTCTTCCTTTATCCTGATTTTCAACAACTTCATCATCAGAAGGACTCTGGTCCGGCTTCTCTGCATTTACTTTCCTAATAATATCATACTGGGTAGAAGAGCTTGTTTGAGCACTGGAACGAATGGAATCCCTCGTGCCAGAACCCCCTAATTTTAAAAACTGGGCAACCTTGGAATTCGCAGCCGGGATAACAAGTTCAGTTCTAGACCGAGTTTGATTCCTTGAAGAACTTTCATTAACTCGAACAGAGCTAGTTGAGCTGCTCTCCACCTTCACAGTCTTACCCCCATTCTCCAGAGAAGTCTTGTGGGGTCTGGAATCTCTCCTAAGGCGAGCCAATTGTGTTTTTGTCTTTTCCAGATTCTGTTCTGCCTCTCCAAGCTGCAAAAATGAATGATCAGAATTCAGAAAAGCTATTCCACCACCATAGCAATAATCTAAGGACTATTCAAAGCCTTACAAGTCGTACAATTTTGTTTCTTTCTTAGTTCTCGACTGATTCCTTTTGAACCACAACCCGTTAGGGTTGATTATTCCTAGTTTTCAACATTCAAGTCGAAAAAAGACTTACAAAATCAAAACTTACTCCCCAGATGGTGAAGGAATGCAGCGAGGAGGAGAATAGAGACGGTGAACAGGGAAAGCAAGCTGCACGGAATTCGAAGCAGGTAATAACGCAATACCTGAGAGGTATAGTAGTCGATACGCTTCCTCAGATGTTCAACTTCGCGAGTACGATGTTCGATAAGCGCCACAAACGGGGAGAATTTCCACATCCGGCAAAACAGAACCCTAAGGTATACAATTTAGACACCCACTAAAGGATCTCAATTTAATAATGCATTTTAGTCCAATATCACACTCGTGCAATTGATCCACAATGAAGAATTTAAGAATGTTCTAATCAGCCTAATTGTATATTCTCTACCTTAGGTTAATAGCTCAATTGGAGAGTGTTATGAATTCCCGATCAATTTCATAATAATACCTCAATTTAATATTTAATCAAGAGTGTAATTAAGGATATGAATCATTCAACATCAAATCCTAACATACATGGCTAGAGTTCTGCACACCCAAGTGAGAATGGATATACTCCATAGCGAGAGAAAGAAATGAAATCACAAACTCAAGAAGAGAAATCAATATCATGGTGATGGGTTCTTCTTTTAGAGCTCCAGCCTTGACTACTTGGTTGTAATTTTTTCATCCATTTGAGGATTGATGTAGGATCCCATTCCAAATAAATTTGTATTTCGGTCGTTAGAAATTTGCACGATTAAAATAGATTGTTTTGACATAATTTCGACAAAAAACAAATTTTGATCGATCTGATAATAACAGCAAAAACATATCCATACGGGTTCACTCTTTCGACAAAAAACATAATTTTGATCGATCGCAACTAGGGATGGCAATGGGGCGGGTTTGCCTCAACCATCCTCGTCCACTCTTTCAAATATCAAAATCCGTACTCGTCTCATATCCATACGGGTGAAGATTTTGAGAACCCATCGTTGTACCCGTGGGTTTCGGGTGGCCATGTGTAATACGTATATCTAACATAATAATATCTAAGAATTTAGAAGTAAATTTTCTTTTATAAAGCTAATCAAACTACTATATCATTAAGTCAACAAATATACAATCATTCTTAATACGGTTCAAATCGTATGATCCTAGAGCATCTATTATTCAATAAATAGAGTTGAATATTTTTCAACTCATTAGTTTCAAACTCTGATACATCTATTAAGTAATACTTAACTAAAATAGTTACCTTTTGGATGGCAATGGGGCGGGTTTGGCTAAACCATCCTCATCCCCGCTTTTAAATATCCAAACCCATACCCGCCCCATACCCATGCAGGGAGGATTTTCCAAACCCATCCCCGTACCCGTGGGTGTCGGGTTCCCATCGGTAATACCCGACCCGTACATCCAACATGATAGCACCTAAAATTTTATATATATAAATTTTCAATTATAACACTAAATGCACCTACTGTATCATGAAGTCAGCAAAGAGACAATCATTCTTAACACGTTTCAAAGCATATTATCCTAAAGCATCTACTAATACATAAGATAGAATGCAATTTAATCCAAATCATTATTCTCTCACTCTAATACATCTACTAAGTAATAACTAACTAACATAATCTTGTTAACAATTGAAACAATGAAGGAGTGAAGAGAGAGTTGAGGAAAAAGATTTAAGTTTTGATTTGGGTAGCCACCCAATTACATTTCTACTAAATATTTTCTTGAGTTACTCTCACTACTATAGATAGGTTACATTTAATCAATGTATTTTTTATATGTGAAAAAATTATCCTAATGGGGCAGGTATGGGGTAGAGGGGGGGGGAGGCTAAAACCATACCAGCCCCATACCCATAAAATGTTTTGTGGGTTTTACCCATACCCGGTTAAAGAGGGGATTTCCCGCGTTGACTGAGTCGGGGCGGACGGATACCCGTGGTTATGGGTTTGATTGCCATCCATAATTACCTTGTTAATAAGAGAGAAAAGTGAAAGAATGAAGGTAGAATTGACGTAAAGGAATTAGATTTGGATTTAGGTGGCCACTCAATTACATTTCTACTATATATTGTCTTAAATTACCCTCACTATCATTGATAGGTTTCAATTGGATCCATGTATTTTTTATATGTGAAGAAATATTTTTGAAGGGGCGAGTGTGGGTATGGGTATGGGGCGACCAAAACCATATCTGCCCCATACCCATCTAACATTTTACGGGTTTTACCCATACACACCCCATATCCAGTTAATGCAGATATTTCTCGAATTGACTGGATAAAAAACGATCGAATACCTGTTATCATGGATTTGATTGTCATCCCTAACCGGAACCGCTTTGCCATTATTTATATACGTACACGTCCCTTCCCCTGTACCATTATATCCATTCCTTTTCCCATTTCCTTAACAGAGCACAGGGCAGCTCGGTGAAAATAGCATATCGTGATTCTTGAGCTCTAAAGGTCCAATAATCATGTAAGTGGCATATAACCCTTCTATGTAGTGTAGTTGATAAGTTTATGGGTTTAAATAGAAATTCGGTGCCAGATTTTCTTAGGGTTTCTGATAGACCGATAATCATACATATTTTCACCCCTATTCTGGAGCCGTTTGTGCTGAGGAATCTCGTGTTTTAAGCCGATTTTACGCCAGGTTGTGTGTTTGTGTCATATTTCAGGTCCCGGCGTTGGAATCGAGGCGGAGAAACGAGTTCTGGGTCGAAAGGAGCCGAGTTGGGACTAAGGGGGCTGCAGGAGGAAAATACCCGGTCGGATGGCAAAATACCCGACCGGGTATTTATCGTTTTTGGCACCCGTGAGAAACAGAAGGGGGCCCGGGCGAAGGCCTTAAATCCCCGGTCGGGGATTTTGGTGGTAGACCGGGGATTTCCCTCTTTAGTGAAACGGTGCGCTGCAGAATACCCGGTCACAACCCAGAATACCCGACCGGGTATTCTGACCGGGTATCGCGACCAGGCAGAGGATTTAAGAGAGAAGAAGGCCAACATTGAAGGGTTCCGAGTTTTTGAGAGAGAAACCGATACCTAGAGAGAGAAAGCGTCGAACCAGAGTTCTCAAGCGCCATAGATCGATCTTCAACACCATTGGAGCCCGTCTTGAGCTTGGAGAAGTGCGATTAAACGTCCAGAAGCAGGAATCCAACTTCACAGTATGATTTCCGTGTCTGAATCTGCTTTTGCTTCTTTCTCTATGGAGTAGTTTCCCCATTCATCTGGGTATGGAGAACCCTAGATTTGTATGCTAGGTCTGATTGTATGAACCCAAGTACAGTGTTTGTGAATTGATTATATTCGATTGAGGTTTGATTGATTGAATGACTTGAATCCTGATCAAATTCCTGTTGTTTCTGCTTTAACCTGGAATGAGAATATCTGCCTAGGTTGATAGAGTACCCTTAATCGAAGGTGGCGAATTGGTGACTTTAGTCGAGGAGCCAATTCGCTATTCTGTACCGAAGTCGATTCGGTAGTGGAGGTTTGGTTCATTAGGGCCTCAATCTGTTTACTCCGGTGGAGGTTAGTCGCCCGCTAGAGACTCAGATTGAGAGGGTCTGGAGACCTTTAGTCGAGACTTCAGGCTAATTGAGAACCTTCCGCAGTATAACTTTCATGAAAACTGAACTTGGTAAAATGCAATCCGACTTAACTGCAGTCTAGGGGGAAACCATATCCGGGTGACCTCTCTTGACTTGACAACAAACCGTTTACTTGCTTTGTGTTTTGTTTGCTTGAGTTTCACTAAAAGTTCACCGCTAAATAACAAGAATTCACCGAGTAGTCATCATATCTAGGACCCGGGTTGACATTAAAACCCGACCCGCTATACTACGCTTTAGGAAGTGGTTATACTTGGCCATTTTCTAGGATGACAGTAGAGTCGAGTCAAGTTTTTGGCGCCGTTGCCGGGGACGGCTAGGTTGTTGAAGAAAAGTGATTTCTGTTACTTTAGCATTTTCATTTTTTGCATTGAGTTTTTGTTCTTCCCACTTGTGCCTTCACGGGTTTGCTTGCTTGAGTGTGTGCAGGTAGTGCATGACCCGTAGCCAGTCAGGAGGTTTACTGCCGTTGGATCCAGAGCTTGAACGCACTTGCCGCCAACTTAGGAGACAGCAGCGAGCTAGACTGGTTACGGGAGAGCGCATAGACGGCCACTTGACCAGCGATTCTGAGGAAGAGTACGAGATGGAGGGCGAAGACATCCCACAACCGGGGAATGCTCGACAGGTTCCCCCGGTGAATCAGCATCCACCACCACCGCCGGGTCCCACCTTGGAGTACTACTACACTCCACGGATTGCTGACATCCGCCCGGTCATCCTCTATCCGCCCATCCCAGCAAATAACTTCGAGATCAAGCCAGGCTGGATTCAGCTCATCACATCCTCTATCCAGTTCCATGGCTTGAAGGATGAGGAAGCCCGGGCACACCTTTCCCGTTTTCTGCAGCTGACAAACGGTTTCAAGCTGAATGGTGTTCCGGATGATGCAATCCGCCTTCACCTCTTCCCCCATTCTCTGGCGGGGAATGCTAAGAGGTGGTTGGAGACCCAGCCCCCACTGTCCATCACTTCTTGGGACGATCTGGCGGATAAGTTCGTGCACAGATATTATCCGGCATCGAAGACTACTGAGATTCAGCGGGAGATCACTCACTTCCGCCAAGAGCCAGATGAGTCCCTTCGTGATGCATGGGAGCGGTACATGGGATACTTCTGGCAGTGTCCCCATCATGGCTTCAGCGATGCTTTCACAGTGGGGAACTTCTACAGTGCCATCACCCCAGACAGCCAGAGGGTGATCGAGTCTCTATGCCCAGGAGGGGATATCCTTACTAAGACTCCACCCGAGCTGAACCAGATGATCAGTACTTTGGCTGCCCGCGATCATTCCTGGGGGCAGAGCAGCAGAGGCAGGCACTCCCGGGACCGTGGTGTGCATGCTATGGAGGCCAGATCCGGGTTAGAGCAGCAGGTGGCTGAGTTGGTGCAGACCCTGAAGCAGCCTAACAGTCTCCTTCCGGGCCGAGGTGTAGCTGCGCCTTCCGGTAGCTCAGTGCCAGTGGTGTGAGAGTCCAAACCATCTGGTGGAGGACTGTCAGGCTATGCGGGAGTCCTCTACTCCCCAAGAGCAGGTGGCCTTCATCGCCAATGCTCGGCGCTTCGACCCATACAGCAATACATATAATGAGGGATGGCGCCAGCATCCCAAC